TCCACTGTTTCGTTCAGAATTTTTTCCCTTGTTTTCCTCCTCTAAAAACGATGTGCGTGTTATGGTCAGGTGCGTGTTATAGAGCGAAAAATACGGTACATCAATTTGATTTGAATTAATTTTATAATGAAATGATTTTAGAATGTTGTATTATTTTATTGTTGTTAGCTGCCTTGAGCCCGGCTTTGGCTGGGGAGGGCAGGATATATATATATATAAATATTATTATTATTATTATTAAACACATACCACCACCGCCCCAAATTCATTTGATTGGGAATGTGCTCCTTACCCGCTAAATGCACCAAAGCACCATGTTCCATCCTCAAAGGGGGAGTCATCCCTTGATAGCTTCCCTACATCCCAGGCCTCTTCTTGATCTGGCCCAATTTGCCAGGAGTTCAGGCCCTCTGTGGCGAATCCAGAAAGAAAAGGACAGTGAAAGGAAAGGATACATACAGATATTGAACCTGGGATTTCTGCACTCCCTACACACGAACACTGTCTCCAGATAAAGGTAATCACCCAGGGCAACCAAAACTATTTCCTTCCCGCCAGAGTGGTACCTATTTATCTACTTGCACTTTGATGTGCTTTCAAACTGCTAGGTTGGCAGGAGCAGGGACCGAGCAACGGGAGCTTACCCCGTCACAGGGATTCGAACCGCCAACCTTCTGATTAGCAAGTCCTAGGCTCTGTGATTTAACCCACAGCACCACCCACATCCCTATCTAATGCTAATTTTTTGAATTTTATTGTTATTCATGTTTTTATACTGTATTTTATGCTGCTTTTATAATTAAGTGTTTTAAATTTGTTGTTAGCCACCCTGAGCCCGGTTTTTGAACTGGGAAGGGCAGGGGTATAAATAAAAATTATTATTATATTATTAAGATTTATGGTGCGGGAGAAGTCTGGACGAAGTTCTTCCTCCCCACCTTCGCCGCAGGGATTCCTAATGAGGTTCTTCTTCATTCTGCAGAGAAAGTAGAAAGTCTTCCAGTCAGGGAGAGCACCAGTCAACACCCCAAGTGGGTAGCCGGCCTGCTCACACTTCTCTTTCCATCCCATGTTCAGAGGGTCCACCATGTCTCGCCACCGGGAGCAAACCAGACGGCAACTGCGAAGGAGTAACCAGGAAGGGAGCCGAAGGAAGATCTCCAGCAGCATCTCCTTGGGAAGGTCCTCAATATTCACCATCTTCTTTCAGGGAAGGTCTGAGGATGACCACGAGGCGGGGGAAGAAATGGAAGAGAAAGCATCTCAGACTCTGGGATTCGCTCCCACAAGAAGCAACAACAACCGCCAATTCGGATGGCTTCAAAAGAGGATTAGACAGAGATGGAAAGAAGATAAAGTCCCCACCAGAGAAGAATGGCAGATCCAGTTGATGGAGTATGCCGAAATAGCCAAAATCACCGGAAAAGTCAGAAATCAGGAAGACCAAAATTTTAATAGGGAATGGGGGAAACTTATAACTTACCATAAAAACCATTGTAAACAGTTAAAGTCATTAGTAGGATTGGAATATCACTCGTAGTTTAATGGTGAATTTTGGACACAATGGAAAGGTAAAAAAGATTTTGGATTATCCTAAAAGATGCTGGAGGAAATGATTAACAATAGGACCCACAAAGGGGAGTAGGGAAGTCCAAGAGATGCCTTGGAATGTTGTTTTTATGTTGTATGTTGGATATGTGACTGTCAATTTTTAATTTGAAAAACCAAATAAATAAATTTAAAAATGAATAAATAAGGATTAAACAAGGTAATGGAGACATGAGAAGAGCCTGTTGTATCAGGCCAATGGTCCATCTAGTCCAGCATCCTGTTCTCACAGATGCCTCCAAAGGAAGCCCACAAGCCAGAGAACCATCTGTGGTTTCCAATGTGATGGCCTGGGACTCGGGCTCGGACCTGGAACCAGAGGAGTCTCAGCCTGCACTGGATCCTTTGCCTCAGGCATCATCTAGAATAAGTCCTGATCCTGAAGGGTCCCAGTCTGCACAGGGTCCCCTGCAACAGCTGGGCCGAGTCAGGGGCCTGAGTCTGCCCTGGCTCCAGATGCGGGGATTACCTCATTGCATTCAGCTGGGCCATCACCTACAGCTGCTCCACTACCGGTTGGGTCAGGGGAGGCTGAGGCGGCCTCTGGGTCTAGTAACCCACCAATGTCTCCCGAGCTGCAGAGACTCAGGTCTGAGAGAAGGAGAGACCTGAGTACTCGCAGGAGGAGTGCTCGCCTTCGGGCAAGACAGGGAGGTGAGTCACCAAGGGATCAGGACCGGCTGCTACCCTGACAAAGATAAAAGGCTGTCGGACCCTGCCCCAGGTTGCGGGAGCAACATTGCTGTATGCCAGACCCTGCCTGAGATCCTGTACCTGTCCTTGCCTGGGTTCCTGCCTCGTGTCCTGCCTTGACCCTGCCAGACTGACTCCTAGTGGAACCTACAGATTCTGGACCGGACCTGGACCATGGTTCTTGGGTTACCCTCAGGCACAGCACATCCAGCAACTGACATGCAGAAGCATTGCTGCCTCCAGCTGTGAAGGCAAAGCACAGCCATCCTGGCTAGCAGCCACGGATCTCCTCATCTTCTTCCATGAGTTTCCCTAATCCTCTTTTAAAGCCATCCAAGTTATTATGGAATCATAGAGCTGGAAGATGCTGGGGACGCAACTGGCGCTGAGGGTTAAACCACAGAACCTAGGACTTGCTGATTAGAAGTTCGGCAGTTCGAATCCCCGCAACAGAGTGAGCTCCCGTTGTTCGGTCCCTGCTCCTGCCAACCTAGTAGTTCAAAAGCACGTCAAAGTACAAGTAGATAAATAGGTACCTCTCCGGCGGGAAGGTAAACGGCAGTTCCGTGCGCTGCTCTGGTTCACCAGAAGCGGCTTAGTCATGCTGGCCACATGACCCGGAAGCTCCCTCGGCCAATAAAGCGAGATGAGCGCCGCAACCTCAGAGTTGGCCAAGACTAGACCTAATGGTCAGGGGGTCCCTTTACCTTTACCTAGAGCTGGAAGGGACCCCGAGGGTCATCTAGTTCAACCCCCTGCAAGGCAGGAATGAATCCCAGCGAAAGCATCCATGGCCATCCAAGCTCTGCTTAAAAACTTCCAAGGAAGGAGAGTCCACAGCCTCCCAAGGGAGACCGTTCCACTGTCGGTGGCCATCACTGCTTCTTATTTTCTGATCATGGGGGAAGTTCCTTCTTTCCCTGCTCAGAGGAACTGTGGCCACTTGTGCTCTTGGAGACTGTTTCTGATGTGGGTGTTTTTACCGTACTGACTTATACTAAATACTTATTTACAGCTTGCCCTCAGAAATGCAAGCTTGCTTACTTAGATGATGAAAATAACGTTTTTGTTGGTTCCCCCCTCCAAAAGTGCTTTATTATTATTTTTGCAAATTTATTTATTTGGTTTTTCGAATTAACATTTTACACTCACATATCCAACATACATCATAAAGACAAGATTCCAAAGGATCTCCTGGACTTCTCTCTTCCCCTTTGTGGGTTCTATCTTTAGAACCCCCTCCTGCATCTTTTACATGCGTAGGCAAACTAAGGCCCGGGGGCCGGATCCAGCCCAATCACCTTCTAAATCCGGCCTGCGGATGGTCCGGGAATCAGCGTGTTTTTATATGAGTAGAATGTGTCCTTTTATTTAAAATGCGTTTCTGGGTTTTTTGTAGGGCATAGGAATTCTTTCATTTCCCCCCCCCAAAAAAAATATAGTCTGGCCCCCCACAAGGTCTGAGGGACAGTGGACCGGCCCCCTGCTGAAAAAGTTTGCTGACCCCTGATCTTTTCTAATAATCCAGATCCTTTACATCTCCATTATATCCAAAATTCACCATTAAACTACAAGTGTTATTCCAATCCTACTAAAGATTTTAACTGTTTACAATGGTTTTTAAGAGAAATTATAAATTTTCCCTATTCCTTTTTTTTAAAAGTGTTGTTAATTAAACCTTCCCACGGATCTACCCCAACACCCCCGCCCTCCAGCTCATGGTACCTGGAAGCCCCACCTCACCTCCGGGGTTTAAAGAGTCGTCTCTGCCCGGTTCTGCGCCCAGAAGACAAGGAGGAAGTGAAACTGCTCTGATATCAGATAACACCACCCAATCTCCGCCTCGAGGAGGGGAATCCTGGCTCATTTGCATACGATGACACCCCTTCGACGTCAGCTGGCTCCTTCCAAAGGAACCCCATCCCTCCCCTCCCGCTTTAATCGTTTAATAGCTTAAGGCGTCTCCAAATGCAAACCTCAGAGGCGCGCGCAACGCTTCGGTTCCGAGCTGATTCTGGCCACCAGGGCTTCGTTTATTCCGGGGCGGTGCGACAGGAGAGTCTCGTCATATTATGCAAATAAGCCTTACTTGGGGATCGCTCCTTGGACGTGTGCATGGATTTTTTGGAAGCTACAGTATTTATAATACAGTGGTACCTCGGGTTAAGAACTTAATTCGTTCCGGAGGTCCGTTCTTAACCTGAAACTGTTCTTAACCTGAAGCACCACTTTAGCTAATGGGGCCTCCTGCTGCTGCCGCGCCGCCGGAGCATGATTTCTGTTCTCATCCTGAAGCAAAGTTCTTAACCCAAGGTACTATTTCTGGGTTAGTGGAGTCTGTAACCTGAAGCGTCTGTAACCCGAGGTACCACCCTAATAACGCTTTTTTTTTTTTTAAACCAGGGCTCTCCATCCTAACAGGGACGTGGGTGGCGCTGTGGGTAAAAGCCTCAGCGCCTAGGGCTTGCCGATTGAAAGGTCGGCGGTTCGAATCCCCGCGGTGAGGTGTGCTCCCGTTGTTCGGTCCCAGCGCCTGCCAACCTAGCAGTCCGAAAGCACCCCCGGGTGCAAGTAGATAAATAGGGACCGCTTACTAGCGGGAAGGTATACGGCGTTTCCGTGTGCGGCTCTGGCTCGCCAGAGCAGCTTCGTCACGCTGGCCACGTGACCCGGAAGTGTCTCCGGACAGCGCTGGCCCTCGGCCTCTTGAGTGAGATGGGCGCACAACCCCAGAGTCTGTCAAGACTGGCCCGTAGGGGCAGGGGTGCCTTTACCTTTACCTTTACTCCATCCTAACAGCGAAGGCTGTATAGAGTCCTCCTGCAACCGTGCTCTGGAAGTCAGCCTCCTTGAGCTCAGACAGATAGACTTAATTCCCGGGAAACTCAGGAAAAAGTGGACTTGGGAATTGCAGTTGCTCTTTGGAGAAGAGCCTCTGCCCTCGACCGGGCGCGCTCAACCCGAGAGGCGCATCATCGTGCGTAAAGGAGCCCCGGCTGGGAATCCCCTGCTCGCCCGGCCTACAAGGGGTGGTGCTCCCTTGGGGGACTCTCCCCGAGAGTTTCCTGCGCCCTCGCCCATGTTCACATTCGGTTTCTTTTTCCTGCAAGGCTGCTGAGTGTCTTGGGGTACCGCGTGGCTCCCGCGTGGCTCTTGCGCATTTTCCAGCCCCGGTAAGCCTGTTGTTGTTTTTGGAAGGAAGGGACGTTGTGGAGCCTGCGAGGTTCAGTTTGTATTGGGGGGGTCCGCCCTCTCCTATCCTCCGGACCTGTTTGCGGTAGGAGAAGTGATGCATGGCCTCTGAGCATGTGCAGAGCGACCCCTCCTTCTTTTCTTCCCTCTAAGTATAAGTTCGTGTGGTTTTTTCCAGGGTTTCAGATACGTGTGAACTTGTGATGGGCGTCCCTCCCCTCGCTATGAAGTGTTGCCACGTGCATGGAGTAATTGCGTTTTGGGGTCCGTTGGGATGTTCAGAATTAAATTGATTGGCCTATCCAGAGGATCCCTGTTGGACCCATAGCGTTCTGCATGTCAATACAGAACAGTGAAATTCAATAGTTAGAAATGGGCTACTCAGAATAGGCCCATTGAAATGAATGGGCCAAAGTTAGCCAGTTTCACTCATTTTAATGGGTCACCTCTGAAGGCAACTGATGTTGGATACAACCCGATAATAACCCTGCTTAACTTAACATTTTAACGGGGGATGGGGTTTTAACTTGGGTGGGTGCTGTTTTATTTGGGGAGTGGGGCTGATTTAAATGGTTTCTAAATGTAATATGCTAATTTTGGATTTAATTTCACTTCATTTAATTTCATTTCACTTTTAATTAGTATCCCACCTTTCTATATAACTATACACAGGGCGGTTTACAAGCTGAAGAAATGACAAAAGATCGTGCACCTTCTAACAATCTGATCCAATCCAATATTATGACATACAAAAGTTATGTCATAATAAAAACACATCTTTAAAATCAACAACTTATATCCAATAAAGCGTTCTTCGATAACCCATTGGGATATAGTAGTGCACAATGAAATTAAATATCAGCAAATAAGAATTAAGTACAAATTCACTCTTAACAATTACAATAAACAGTTTCTAAACTATAATCAATAAAAATAACAGCAAGTCAAGGTGCATAAAGTAACACAATACAAATTGAGAAGCAAAAGCACATTCAATAATAATAATAATAATTTTTAATATCGCTGAACTTCTCTCTTCCCAGCTGCTTCTGCATGGTCTGGGAAAGGCTCCTCCTAGGTCTGGAGGGTGGGCCAGGGCAGGTAGAAAAAGCCATTGCCTGATGGCTAGTACAAAATGCAGAAGGAGAGCTAAGAATGAAAGGGGGCAGCAGATGGATGTGGATAGAGCACAGAATGTTTAACTGGCTCTTAGAGCAGAGAAAGAAACCAGGGGGAAGAAGCAGGAAAGGAATGAAGCACATGGCTACAACATTTTGTTGCAGCGTTCCTCTTTACAACTATTTCCCACTGCTGTTCTTCTTGTGGGGTTTCTCTCTCTCATTCTCGCCCTCTTGTGGTTCTTCCCTGGAAGCGTCCGAAAGACCACTCTGAAGAAAGATGCTGACTATTGGGGACTTGCCTGAACATGTCCTTCTGGAGGTGCTGGCCCGGGTACCAGCCAGGAACCTGCTTTGCAACTGCCGGCTGGTTTGCTCCCAGTGGCGACGCCTGGTGGACGACCCTGAGATGTGGAAGATTAAGTTCCAGCGAAAGAGTGGACCCGAGACCCAAGAGTCAAAGGCCTTCTTCATTTACTCCCACAGGGAGAAGAACTTAATCAAGAATCCTTGCGGCAAAGGTGCATCTCTTTTCAGCTGGGAGGGGAGAGGGGGTTATTGCTTGGTTTCTGTTCTTTGTTTTTATTATGTATTTTGTTTTCGTTACCTTGCATCTTTACACCCCCCAAGATCTACAGATGAAGGGCAATATACAAATTTAATAAATAAGGAAAGGGAAGTGGTCGCAGTCCGACAAATGATTTGCCTGACCCTTTTGGAAGGCGGGTGGTGCTGTGGTCTAAACCACTGAGCCTCTTGGGCTTGCCGATCAGAAGGTCGGTGGTTCGAATCCCAACGGGGTGAGCTCCCATTGCTCGGTCCCTGCTTCTGCCAACCTAGCAGTTCGAAAGCACGCCAAAAAGTGCCAGTAGATAAATAGGTACCGCTGCAGCAGGAAGGTAAATGGCATTTCTGTGCGCTGCTCTGGTCTTGGTGTTCCGTTGCGCCAGAAGCAGCTTAGTCATGCTGGCCGCATGACCCGGAAAAACTGTCTGCAGACAAACGCCAGCTCCATCAGCCTGTAAAGGGAGATGAGCACCGCAACCCCAGAGTTGTCTGCGACTGGACTTAACTGTCAGGGGTCCTTTACCTTTTTTGGAAGGCACTTTGCTGCGAATGATAGGGAACAAGGCCGGGCAGTGCTGGGTTTTCGACATCGTGGTGCATCTCCAGCCAAACATCGTGGTTTGGCGATATACTGCAATGTTGTTGTTTTTTTTATAAAATTTTTATTGGTTTTCCAGACATGTAGTAAAAACAAACAACAAAACGAAACAAAACAAAACATACACACAAATAAACATGTACAATTTCATAAACTCATTCTCCTTCACCTTGTTTCCCGGACTTCCCCATACCTCCCTTTTTCTGCATCCTTATTTTTCCCTTTTAACAGCAACCCTTCATTTCATTATTAATTCATCTTCATTATAGCTCCCTTAAATTTATGATATACAGCTGCAATTCTCTATTTCTTAACACCATAACATCTCAGCACTCTTCAATTTTACAACAATTTTTAAGGTATACTTTAAATTTCTTCCAATCTTCCTCCACTGTCTCTTTCCCCTGGTCACGGATTCTGCCGGTCATCTCAGCCATTCCCATGTAGTCAATCACCTTCGCTTGCCATTCTTCCAGAGTGGGTAACTGCTGCGTCTTCCAATACTTTGCCAGAAGAATCCTTGCTGCTGTGGTAGCATACATAAAGAATATACTGCAATGTTGAATAAAGCTGCATCGGCCCCAGCTGGCGAGGTGCCAGGTGAAAACATCACAGATCTCATTGTGGGAGCTGAGGCATTTTCAGTCCAGCGCCTTGCAGGCTGGGGCCAAGACAGCTGGCCCTGAATTGCTGCTCAGCTGGAGGGCGGAATGGCTCCTACAAGCAGCGGAGCCAGCTCTGAGGCCCCTTGGCCTGGCTCTGCTGAGGGCGGGAGAACAGCCCCGACATCCCTGCCGCTCGTGCTGCAGCAGCAAGGACCCAAGCTGCCTCTGCCTTTGCTAGCATTGGGGGCGGGCGAGCTATCTTGCCCGCTCGCCCCCCACTCCCAAAGACCAACCTAGCAGCAATAGCCAAGCACATGGAACCTGTCAGGCTCTGTGCATTTGACTGCCTTCGCTTGTGCGGGTGCGCTGCCTCTTTCCTACGGTGGGGGTGTCGTTCACCCCAGGAGGAATGATGCAGCCCACCCTCCCGGGCGGAAGGTGTGGGGTGTCTTCACCTTGTGGAGAGGGGCTGCTGGCGAGTGCTGGGCCTGCCAGCAGCATCAAAGAGCCCCCAAACCACCTGGCTGCCTTTCACCGGAAGGGTGGGCTCCGTCTTCCTGGGAGGAAAGGCACAGCACCCCCTCGCGGAGGAAGGCAGCCAAGCGGGGTCTGGGGGCTCTCTTTTTCCCCAAAAGTTTTTTATTAGTTTTCCAAATTTATAACAAACAAATAGAAAGAAAACATCACAAAAGAAACAAAAAAAAATTTATCCTAGTTATAATAATTCCACTTTTGTTAACATTGTTGGGTGACTTCCTCAAGTCCCCGTGGCTGAGTTTCCATATAAATCATTGTAGCAGTTTTCCAAAACTGTTTTCACATAAAATTTACTTGGTCAATTAACATCTTTCTTTCATTTCATTTCATTTTTATTTTTTTTTACCATAGTATTCTACAACATCACTTATTTAAGTCTTAGGCCGATCTGATACTCGCAAGTAATTCTATTTAAGTTATCTTAACATATTTAGCTAAATAGTGTTTAAATTTCTTCCATTCCTCTTGGTACTCCTCCTCCTTCTGGTCGCAGACTCTTCTGTCAGGTCGGCTAGCTCCCAAATGTCCATCATCTTCATCTGCCATTCCTCCACTGTTGGTACTTCTTGTAATTTCCAATTTTTGGCTAACAAAATTCTAGCTGCAGTTGTGGCATACAAAAACAATCTGACATCTTTCTTGGGCAATTCCAAACCTGTTATTCCAAGTAGAAAGGCTTCTGGTTTCTTAATAAATGTATATTTCAACATTTTTCCCCAATTCATTATAAATCTTTTTCCAGAAGTCTTTCATCTTGGGACAAGTCCACCACATATGGTAAAAAGTACCTTCTTTTTCTTTACATTTCCAACACAGATTATCACTCTTGTGGTAGATCTTTGCTAGTTTTACAGGGGTTAAGTACCATCTATACATCATTTTCACATCATGTTCCTTTAACAGGGGTCTGGGCTCTCTCAGCTGGGGAGGGGTTGCACTTTAACAGAGCCGCTGGCTCGTGTGAGCTGCTTGTGGGTCGAGGGCTCCATAAAACAGCTTGGCTCAGGCAAGGGCAGCAGCTCGCTCCTCAGCCAAGCAGTTTAAAGAAGCAGAGGAAGGAACAAGCTGTATTGGTACCTCGCCAGTTCAGCTTATTCTCCCTCTGCTGGAACAGAGTACGATGGCGGTTTCACCAGCCGTATATCTGCCTGCAGCTCCCAGCTAGTTTGTTTCTCCCTCTCGGCACTGGAGGCAGAGGGACTCAAGAACGGTGACGGTTTCACCAGTGATATACCGCAGAGTGAAGCTGTCATCGTGGTCTGCCCCCACATAACGGTCCTTGGTGATATATCGATGTATTGCCCAGGCCTAATGGGGAAGGGTTCAGTGGCAGTCAGTCAGTGGACTAGAGGTACTAGGCTGTTCCCCTAAATGTTCCTGGTATATTTGAGTATTAAAATATTAAACCCTGACGCCACCTTTCCAAAGCCCAGGAAGCTTCTGCCTGGCTTAGGGAAGGAGGCAAGATGCTTGAGAGCCAGCGTGGTGTAGTGGTTAAGAGTGGTAGACTCGTAATCTGGTGAACCTGGTTCGTGTCTCCACTCCTCCACATGCAGCTGCTGAGTGACCTTGAGCTAGTCACACTTCTTTGAAGTCTCTCAGCCTCACTCACCTCACAGAGTGTTTGTTGTGGGAGGGGAAGGGAAAGGAGAATGTTGGCTGCTTTGAGACTCCTGAAGGGGAGTGATAAAGTGGGATATCAAATCCAAACTCCTCCTCCTCCTCTTCTTCTTCTTCTTCTTTTTCTTCTTCTTCTTTGTGTGATGTCAGTAGGTAAAGGGAGCCCTGACCATTAGGTCCAGTCGTGACCGACTCTGGGGTTGCGGCGCTCATCTCGCTTTATTGGCCAAGGGAGTCGGCGTACAGCTTCTGGGTCATGTGGCCAGCATGACTAAGCTGCTTATGGCGAACCAGAGCAGCGCACGGAAACGACATTTACCTTCCCGCCAGAGTGGTACCTATTTATCTACTTGCACTTTGATGTGCTTTTGAACTGCTAGGTTGGCAGGAGCAGGGACCGAGCAACGGGAGCTCACCCCGTCCCGGGGATTCAAACCACCGACCTTCTGATCAGCAAGTCCTAGGCTCTGTGGTTTAACCCACAGCGCCACCCACATCCCGTGATGTCAGTACATCATGCCTAAAACATCCCCCCTGTTGCCCTCGCTGGCCTGCATGTTCCTCCAGGATCTGTATCCTCACCTTTGTCTGGCTGCTGACTCCTCTGTTGCTTCCACTGACTCAAAAGCCTCTTCCTTCAATGTCTGTCATTTTGGTTTTGGTTTGGTTTCCGCAGAGGGCCTGGACTCCTGGGCAATGAGGGTCCCTTCCGAGGGCCACTGGAAAACCGAGGAGCTGTCTGAGGAGGATTTGGCTGCCCTCCCCGTGGAAAGTTTCCTCCAGAGGAATTCCTACGCAAAAAAGAAAGACTCCTCCCCACAGTGGGTCAACCGATGCTTTGCTGCGTGTGACGGGTGAGTGTCCGTGGACAGCTGTGAATCCAAAATGACTCCCTGGCTGCAAATCCGGTCCCTCGGGGATACAGTTACCCCATTTGGGACCAGGGAACCCCACACACGTGCCCACCCCCTGTCCCCCAGAAACAGTACTTCTCTCTTGTTGGGATCCAACCTCAGGCCATCCATCAACCGCCACCCATCCTCCAAAGGCCTTCAGACATTCACACAAGATGTTCCTTTGTTCTTCAGGCTCTGCAGCAAGGCTCAGCTCATCATTCTGAAGGACGTTGGGTACTGGGACGAGCTGATAGATGAAGCCAGACCTAACATCGCCGTGAATGAATGGTGAGTTCAGAGCATCCAGTCTTGGTTATTGAGGGGGTGGGGCTGCGTGGTCCAAAGGACAGAATAAGAATGTATGGAATATGCAGACATGGCAAAACTTAACAGAAGAATAAGAGATCAAGACAACAAAAGAATGGAAATGGTTATTTAATATTTACAGATAAATTGTAAACAGAACATTGGCAGGATTATTGTAATAACCTGCAATTACATACAATTTGCTCATTCGTGTTTTAAATATATATATTTGAAATAGATGAATAGATGAGCAAATTAAGTTAATTTAGATATGCAGAAGATATTGAAAATGAATTTAAGGAAATGCAGGAAGAGGGGGAAGGAGGTCAAGTTTTGAAATGTTAAAATGATTGTAAAATTAGTGAAATGTAGAAATCTGAAAAGCAGGATCTGGTAGGATTCCAGACAGCTCCAAAGCTGGCAATGTGCTCCAATCCAACGCTCTTCAACCTTGGGTCTCCTAGTGTTACTGGACTACTACTGCCATCATCCCTCACCATTGGTGTGCTGGGGATGATGGGACTTGTAGTCCAACCACCAAAGGTTATAAAACACTGCTCATTTGCTCTGAGCCTTCCCCCTCCCCTATAATTTTTCTGTTTTGCATTTTAGAATATCCATTTAAACAACCTTAAAATATCAATGACTTCCTTTCTTCTCTTTCCATGGTTCATTTTGCATAACAGTTTGCATATTTTATATAAACTGAACCATTCAGTTTTCCCTTATTGCATCCATCCAACCTTATTTGCACTGTTGAATTTATCTTAATGCTGCCAATGTTTTCAAGTGTACTCAATTTCCCCCCATATATTCAACAAACATGTTCCAATCTTCTTTAAGCATATGTTCTCTTATTCCATATGTTAAGTCCGCAAGCTGTGCATATTCCATCAGTTTAAGTTGCCACTCTTCTTTAGTTGGGACCTTGCTCATTTTCCATTTTGGGGCTAACATAACATGGGCCGCAGTAGTAGCGTACATAAATAACCTTCTTTTGTTAGCACTCTGAGCCTTTTTGCACCTTTGCAGGCCTTGAATTTCCTGAGCAAGCTGTGCCTCACTGAGATAAGATCCTCCTTAAAGGGCCTGTGGGCAGACATGAATGGCACAGTCAGAGATAGCGATGCTTCTGAGTAACTGCTGGAAAGGCAGGAAGGGAGAAGGTTCTTGTACTCAAGTCCTGCTTGTGGGTTTCCCAGAATGGTCCATTGGCTTGATCTAGCAGGCTCTTATGTTTTGTAGACACACCAAATAATATATTTGCATGCAAACGTAAGAAGAGCCCTCCTAGATAAGGCCAGCAACCCGTCTAGTCCAGCCTCCTGTTCTTGTGCAACTGGTATTCAAATGTGTCCCACCTCTTGACAGTGGAGGGAGAACACAGACCCCATGGCTGGTAGCTTCAAGAGCCACCTCTCTCCATATGAACCTAGCCAGTCCCTGAGATCATCTTCCAAGGGCCTCCATCGTGTACCTCCTCGAGAGGTCCGGAGGGTGGCAACATGAGAACGGGGCCTCCTCTGCAGTGGCTCCCCATCTGTGGAATGCTCTCCCCAGGGAAGTTTGCCTGGCTCCTTCATTATACAGCTTTCGGTGTCAGGAAAAATGTTCTTTTTTAACCAGGCCTTTGGCTGACTGACACCCGATGTCCTTTTAAAATGTATTGGGTTGTTTTTGTTTATATTTTGATTATGTGTTTTGTGGTTTTATATTGCGCTTTTATGTTGTAACCGCCCTGAGACCTGCACGTATAGGGTATTATAGAAATATAATACAGTGGTACCTCGGGATGCGAACAGGATCCGTTCCGGAGCCCCGTTCGCATCCTGAAGCGAACGCAACCCACATCTGCATGTGCGCGGGTCGTGTTTCGCCGCTTCCGCGCATGCACGTGATGTCATTTTGACTGTCTGCGCATGTGCGTGTGGTGAAACCCGGAAGTAACACACTCCCTTACTTCCAGGTCACCACGGAGCGCAACCCGAAAATGCTTAACTTGAAGCACATTTATCCCGAGGTATGACTGTAATAATAATAATAATATTATAATAATGGCCATTGAAAGCCGTATTCATGCATGAAACTGATTGATGTATATAAGCGTACAGCCATTCGCCATTATTGGTTATACTACTACTTATTATTATTTATTAGAAGTAACTGTTTTAAAGTTGTACATTCAAGTACATGGGAATAGATTTATATCGAAAGATCTAGGCTGCCTTGATTTTTTTTATCTGGAGGTTATCGGTCACAAAATATATACTCTTGGTTTGGTGTTGAGCGTTCAAATCATGCCTAGTTTGGTTTCTCCTCAAACTGATGTTTTCTCTCCCCCCCCAAAAAAACCCCAGCTATTATTGTCCCCCCGGCAGCCGCTATCAACTTAGCGTGAAGATGTTGGACGCAGACTTTCAGCTCCTCCACATCCTCCATACGGAAGGGCGCGGTTCGGAAGCTCCACGCTGGCGTCGGGTCTGTAAGCCCCAGTGGGAAATGCTTGGGATGGGGAGCAGAAGCAAAGCCTGCAGTAGATGGGGGAAGGATTTATTGATCTGAGGGCCGGCATTCCCTTGTATGCAGGCTTCTGGGGGCCACATTCCAGTGATGGGCAGGAGCAGAGGTTGACGTAGGCAAGCTGGTGCTTATTCATTTGTTTTTATCTAAAGGAGTTTGTGGTCATCACAAAAAAAGAGAGCCAGTTGATGTTAGAGTGTCAAGACTATGACCTGGGAGACCAGGGTTTGAATCCCCACTTGGCCATGAAGCTTGAGCCCATTCAATGTCTTCTCTAAGCCGAACCTATCTCCCCAGGGATAAAATGAGAAGGTGAGAGTTATATACGGCATCTTGAGCTCATTGCAGAAAACATGGACTATAAAAGGAATAAATGAATACTTTCTTGGGCTCCATGATCACTGCAGATGGTGACAGCAATCACAAAATTAAAAGACACCTGCTTCTTGGGAGAAAAGCAATGACAAACCTAGACAGCATCTTAAAAAGCAGAGACATCACCTTGCCAACAAAGGTCCGTCTAGTTAAAGCTATTGTTTTCCCAGTAGTGATGTATGGAAGTGAGAGCTGGATCATAAAGAAGGCTGATCGCCGAAGAATTGATGCTTTTGAATTATGGTGCTGGAGGAGACTCTTGAGAGTCCCATGGACTGCAAGAAGATCAAACATATCCATTCTGAAGGAAATCAGCCCTGAGTGCTCACTAGAAGGACAGAACCTGAAGCTGAGGCTTCAATACTTTGGCCACCTCATGAGAAGAGAAGACTCCCTGGAAAAGACCCTGATGTTGGGAAAGATGGAGGGCACAAGGAGAAGGGGACGACAGAGGACGAGATGGTTGGACAGTGTTCTCGAAGCTACCAGCATGAGTCTGACCAAACTGTGGGAGGCAGTGGAAGACAGGAGTGCCTGGCATGCTCTGGTCCATGGGGTCTCGAAGAGTTGGACACAACTAAACAACAACAAAACATGACTAAACGACTAAACAACAACAAAATTTAAAAACCTGTATGTGATATACACAAAATTATCAATAAAGCAAGTTCAGAGAATCGTAGAGTTGGAAGGGACCACGGAGGTCATCTAGTCCAACCCCCCTGCAGTGCAGGAATATTTTGCCCATTATGGGGCTTCAATCCACAACTCTGGGATTAAGAGCCCCGTGCTCTTAATGACTGAGAAATAGGATGAAAAAAATGAATTATACGACACAGGAACAAAATCGGATTACATGGATGTTATAAAACAAAGTTGCACATTAATATATTCATGTCTTTGGATGTGCCTAAAAGAAAAAAGGGGTTAGCTGTGCACTGAAAGAAGGACAGCAAAGGCACCTGACCAACGTCATGGGCAGGGAGTTCCAAAACGTCGGTGCTGCCATGCTAAAAGAAGGAATCTTAGTGCACAGTGAACATTTGTGCATCCCTTGTAAGTTGGCAGGACATATTGGTTGAGTGGGGGGGCGGGTAAAGGAGATCTCCCAGCCCCCTAAATATATTTGCAAAGCAGGACTGGTAAGTGGAGTGTCCAGAGGGGAGATCCAGGGGTCAGGCTTGAGGGCCACATTCAGCCCAAAGACCCCTACCTTTGAGGGGGGTAGTTTTCCTCCTACCTCAGCAGCCTTGCCCTGTATTCAGCATCTCTCTCTTTCTCTCCTGTCTTCAGATTTCGCAAGGGATTATCGAATGCCAAGCTGGACTCCGCTACATCCTCTTTGAACACCTAGCTGTAAACGGGAGCGGCCAGCCGCCCGAGAACAGCGTAAGAGTCACCAGGAGCAGCGTCACTCTTGGGCCGTTTAATTGGGACGAAGACTTCATAGAGCCCTTTCCCGACTCAGATGACGAAGGCGGCGCTAGTGGCAGCGGATGCAACTGGTGAGGACCCTCCCCCTGTCTTCTTGCAACCAATCAAGTGGAGGCTCTGCCTGTGATTGGCTTCCCTCCATCTGTCTTTTGCTGTGGCGCCACCTAGAGGTGGGCTCCCTACCTACTGCTCTACCAGTGCCAATGGGCACTGCCAGCCCCCACTGACTCTTAATTCTGTCCTGTACACTCTGCTGCATTCCTCTGACATCTGTTCTTATGTCCGACAACATTTGCATCACCGACTCTTCAAAATTTGGTGTTCTGTCTTTCATTTTACTTTTCTCAGACTTGTCTACACTATTAGCCATAACTATTCCATAGTATCAAGGTCAACTCACCCTGTCACAGTCAACAAGATTTTTAGTGCACAGGCAGCAGCAGACAGCTCAGCAGCTCCCCCCTTTCAAAGTCTTCATTTCTTTACTCTTCTTATTCTTTTTAAAAACCATCCAAAATCCATTTACACACTTATATCCAGTTCAAGGAGGGTAAACGAAACACTGTATACTATTTTAACAAGCTCAGAGGGCAGCAGTTACTTTGTAGTCCCCAAAGAGGAAAACGAAAGTTGAATGTTTCCTCTCCCTTTGTGACGCAATAATGGAGTCTAGCCTTCCCCCACGGGAGGTCCGCTTCCAGAAAGAGTCTATTCCCCTGTCAAATTTATCTCTTGCAAGGTCTCTCAATTTAGTCAAATTTCCCCCCCTTCCCTCTGCAGAAAGAGGGGTTTAGAATGTTTCCTTGGAAGTTTTGACAAGTCTTTTAAAGTTACGGCTTCGGTCAGCAGTAACTTCTTTCACTTCTACTTCAGCGGAAAGGGATCGACCTCCGTAATTTAAATCCCTTCCAATCCAATTGACAGTCCGAATTTAAAACCTTTTTTTTACTAACGATTGTCCAATCTTTTAAAATTTGGTTGGAGAAATTGGTCGCTCATGATTGCCAGACTTCGGACCTTCGCTCGATGAAGAAAGCGAATAGATTCCACAGTACCTGCGTCTCCAACCCCGCTTGCTCTTGGGGCTCTTATTGGAGCTTACCAGGGAGCAGGGGAGTCACAAGGGGTACCCGCCGGAACACCAGGTCCTCAGAATGCTCGATCTGAGGTTTTTTCAGGGTTCCACAACGCTCTTGCTCTCATCCACCATTAATCGCGCGGCCAACCGGAAGTCTTAACCTGCAGTTTCATAATAGTGCAGTGGTACCTCGGGTTACATACGCTTCAGGTTACACACGCTTCAGGTTACACACTCCGCTAAACCAGAAATAGTGCTTCAGGTTAAGAACTTTGCTTCAGGATAAGAACAGAAATCTGGCTCCGGCGGCGCGGCAGTAGCAGGAGGCCCCATTAGCTAAAGTGGTGCTTCAGGTTAAGAACAGTTTCAGGTTAAGTACGGACCTCCAGAACGAATTAAGTACTTAACCCGAGGTACCACTGTATATATTTAAAGTAGATAATTAAATGAATTTGGATATGCAGAAGATATTGAAAAATAAATTTAAGGAACCGCAGAAAGAGGGGGAAGGAAGTCAAACTTTGAAATGTTAAATTGACTGTAAAACTAATGAAATGTATAAACTTGAAAAGTATAAATAAAAACTTTTTTTAAAAAAAAAGACGCATCAGGGTTTCCTGATCTTTTTAGTCGGGCCAGTGAGGGAGAACGATGGAAGCTGACTTTTGAACGAAGATAATTTTGGGTAGCAAAGAGTGTTCTGTCTTTCTCTACAGCGACATGTAAATAAAGTATCTCTTCATGAGCTGGATCTTTCTCTCGTCCTGAATTAATAAAATAGGAATAGAAATAGGAAGAGACAGTGCAATCCTAACTGTGTCTACTCAGAAGTAAGACCTATTGAATTCAGTGGGGTTTATTTTCAAGTAAGTGAGGTTAGGCTCGCGGCCTAATTTGTGTTTGGCATAGTAACTGGATACCAAACATTGTCTTTTTCTGGGTTCACTCCCCCCCCCCCCGAGACATATTTCTATGTAACTGACTGTGAAGGGTTATTTACTATAAAAGGAATCACAGCAAAGCAAAGCAAGCTATGAGGATTACCATGGTTTACACTAAGTCAGGTATGGGGAACCTTGGGCCCGCCACAACTCCCGTCATTCCTTGATATTGGGCATGCCATGCTTGCCAGGGCTGATGGGAGTTGTAGTTCTGTGACAAGCCAAGGGTTCCCTGCCCCCGTGCTAAATCCATATCTCTGTCCTTCTTTGCAGATGAGTACTCCGGGACACCATTCAAGCTTCTAGTCCCTAACTTTGAGGTAATGAACTGCAGCCCTGGGACAAGATGTGGCCCTCCCACCCAGCCCTCGGGGTTCTCCTCTCGCTGGCCCTGCTCTGCTTGCTTCCTTGAGTGCCTTTGCCTAGCAGAATGTGTCCCTGAGTTGTAATAAAGCCTTTAGCTTGCCTGGATGGAGAAACCTGTGTATACAAACCTCTGGATTGTGCATGGTTTGGATGAAGCCTTCTGTAGCTCCACCTATGTTTTGCCTCAAGCCACACCTACTGCTGGTTTGTGGCCCCTGGAAAGTGGTCCTGGAGGGAATGAGGACCCCTGCCTTTTCCCTAATTACTGCATTTCCCAATGCAATCCTCGCTGCAGACATCTTGGTGTTGATTTCCTTCTCGTAAACAAATGCATAGAACTCCGAGACTTCTCCCAAATCCTTTGTCAGATGAATTTGATGAATTCTTTTTCTGCCATGGCTATGTAGGACTGCCTACAATACTCTTTGAAGAATAAACTGTGATAGCGGACATAGAACTTATGAAAAGAGAGAGGGGATAAAGAACTGTCTTACATGAAAAGAGTTAAAGCCTCAAATCCAAGTTCTTACGATAAGAGAGAAAAAAAGAAATTTGGTTGAGCACCACCCTGACATTTACTGTGACTAAACTTGGCAAATAAAGTCCATCTTTCAACAAATGTGTTTGCCTGTTCTTTACATTAATCACGTTTTAAAAACATCAGCATAGAGGAAAATACTACATTCTCTATCCCTCCTGTAACATTCCAAGATCAAAGGAGCAATCGGCTTTTCCACTTCCAATGTGCTGCCATGCATATATCAGCTACTAGAAGCAGATTTATATCTGGGATGTCTGTGGCACTGTGGTCTAAACCACTGAGCCTCTCGAGCTTGCAGTTCAAACCCGTATGACAGGGTGAGCTCCCATTGCTCTGTCCCAGCTCCTGCCAACCTAGCAGTTTGAAACCACACCAGTGCAAGTAGATAAATAGGTACCACTGCAGTGGAAAGGTAAACGGCATTTCCGTGCGATCTGGTTTCTGTCACGGTGTTCTGTTGTGCCAGAAGCGCTTTAGTCCTGCTGGCCACACGACCCAGATGTAGAAAAACGCCGACTCCCTCGGCCTGAAAGCAAGATGAGCGCCACACCCCATAGTCACCTTTGACTGGAATTAACCATCCAGGGGTCCTTTACCTATATCTATATATCTACCTCCAAATACACACAATAGTTGAGTTGGAATGGGCCCAAAGGGTCATCTGGCCCAACCCTCTGCAATGCAGGAATCTCATCTAGATCATACATGACAGATGTCCATCCAACCTCTGCTTAAAGACCTCCAATGAAGAAGAGTCCATTCCACTGCTGAACAGCTCTTAGGGTCATAAAGTAGTTATTGATATTTAGTCTGAATCCCCTTTCTCATAACTTTAATCCACTGATTTGGGTCCTACCCTCCGGTGCACCAATACAACAAGCTTGCTCCATTTCCTTAGGACAGCCCTTTAGTTATTTGAAGATGGCTATCGTATCCCCTCTTAGTCTCCTCCAGGCTAAACAGACCCAGCTCCCTCAACTGTGTCTCACCTGTCTTGGTTTCCAGACCCTTAAACTGATACCCTTTATGACTTCTTCAAGGTAACCTCATAATAAAAAATTCATCTTTTTGTTGTAGCAAAGTATCCGAGTTGTTGCTTTTTTATTTAGTTTTTTGCTGATTTTTGTGATGTTGGTTCTTTTGAAGAATTCGTTAAAGATATCTGCATGCATTGTATGTTATATATACTGCTTTAAACTTTTGTACAGCACCCTTTTGGAGGTAGTAACCAAGCAAAATAAATGCACCACCGAGGGTCGTGGAGCGCCTTCCAGGGGCCACAGCCATGCTTCATGGGGACTAGTGCTGGAGCTGAATTCAGCCTAATGTATTCAGCCTCTTGTATTTTTTGGTTGTTCATATTAAAGTCAGAACAACTGTAGAAGGAACTTTGACTTAAATTCAGTCTGTCTCAAGTTTTGTTATTAAGCTATTCTTTGTCTTGCGTTAATTGATTTGAATGTTCGTTGGTGTGTGCGTCTCATACCCGTAGCTTTGTCCCAAGTGATTTTTACACATAACATTGGGGCTTTTTTGTGCTAATCATAATGCTTGCTAACACACAATCTTAACATAGCAGCCAACTCCTAGGGGCTGAAAGGTCTCCCCCCCCCAATAAAATGTTTTGAAGGAGCTGGGCCCCCCAAAGTTCATGGGCACTGCCCTTCAAATAGTGTGCCTGCACTATGTCATGCGATCAGTTATCAATATTTTATTTAAGTTGGCTCCCCTGCAATATAAGCTTTGCATCCACTTGCTTTGTAGGCTGCAGGGTCCTGAGTCCACCTTTGGAAATCCACTTCCTGGAGCTTGGAGCAAATTCCTGCAGCTGAGCTAAAACTTTGGGGGCAGTGAGACGGGGGCTTAATAAGCGCCTGTGGCCTTGAAAAGGGCGTGGTGGCCCGGGAGGATCATCATCTTATGCAAATACAGTCCAGCAGGGCTTCCACTGCTTGCCCAGCCCACAAGGGGAAGAACGTGCTAGAGACCCTGCCCCTAAGGGGAGGATTGGCAGCAGGGGGTATGTCACTTCCTGCAATTCCAGTGCCTGGATCAGGATCGCGTTCGATTTCCTCTTGCTGCCTGGCGACTGAGCAGGGCGGAGACTAGATTTCCTGTCGGAAGCGTCACATAGTTTCTGTGCTCATTCCAGACCAGGGACTCAGCTATACAGCTGCAAATAAAATGTTTTAAGTGTGCTGTGAAGTGCAATATACAAATGTGACACTAGATGGCAGCAGTGAGCTATGCAAAATTCAATGTATACTTCAAAACATTTAAAAAAAAAACAAACATTTTCACAGCGTTTTTTATACGTGTGCAGATTCCACCTAGGATTTTGTTGGGGACAAGGTAGTGGGTCTACTACTCCAAGTGAAATTTAATTGGACATAGCCCAGTGCCTCAAGGGATGGAAGATCTTGGGCGAGGTGCCAACTTGAAGAAAATATTGGGGGGGGGGTCAAGCACACCACAAACCAAACCTTGTCCAATTGACTGCAAACTGGTGCCAAAGTGGAGTGGGTTTGGTGTGCCTATGGCCCCCAGTTTGAGTGTCAATTACTCAAATGTAGCGGGGGCAGCTGGTTATGTGAAACACTTTAAGGAAAATTCTGGGGTGAGAGACTACTCAACAGCCCCGCTCATCGGGGCAGAGCCTGCTGGTCTATATGGTCAGGAAGGAAGGAAGTTCCAGCCAAATATAGGAGCAAAACAGCGGTCAGTAGACCAATATCTTTATTATTGTGCAACAGGTCCCCACAAGAGTAAGAACACCAAGCATGGGGTGACATCCTCTTTTAAAACTTCACTCTTTCCCCCAGAATACACTTCGAGCGGCATCATTGATACATCATCAGTACATCAGTGGAATGTCACAAATAGGGAGGGGTATAAGAAGATCAAAAGGTACGCAGGTGGCACTGTGGGTTAAACCACAGAGCCTAGGACTTGCCAATCAGAAGGTTGGCGGTTCGAATCCCCACAACGGGGTGAGCTCCCGTTGCTCGGTCCCTGCTCCTGTCAACCTAGCAGTTTTAAAGCACGTCAAAGTGCAAGTAGATGAATAGGTACCGCTCCAGCGGGAAGGTAAACGACGTTTCCGTGCGCTGCTCTGGTTTGCCAGAAGTGGCTTAGTCATGCTGGCCACATGACCCAGAAGCTGTACGCCGGCTCCCTTGGCCAATAAAGTGAGATGAGCGCCGCAACACCAGAGTCGGCCATGACTGGGTCTAACGGTCAGGGGTCCCTTTACATTTAGAAGAAGATCAAACCTCTCCATTCTTAAGGAAATCAGCCCTGAGTGTGCACTGGAAGGACAGATCGTGAAGCAGAGGCTTTGGCCACCTCATGAGAAGAGAAGACTCCCTGGAAAAGACCCTGAT